CCTCGCTGAAGGGAGTTAGCCTCGCTGAAGGCAGTTAGCCTCGCTGCATGCAGTTAGCCTCGCTGCACGCAGTTAGCCTCGCTGAAGGGAGTTAGCCTCGCTGAAGGCAGTTAGCCTCGCTGCATGCAGTTAGCCTCGCTGCACGCAGTTAGCCTCGCTGAAGGGAGTTAGCCTCGCTGAAGGCAGTTAGCCTCGCTGCATGCAGTTAGCCTCGCTGCACGCAGTTAGCCTCGCTGAAGGCAGTTACCCTTGCTGCACGCAGTTAGCCTAGCCTTGCTGCTAAACCAGGTCCTGGAAAAAAAACGTTTCTTGCACCATTTCTCTCTCTCTCTCTCTGATGCATCTCCAACTCCCGCGACTCGACCTGTCAATCACCCGCAAAACTTCTGCGCTGTGGCGGGAGGTGGTGAGCAAATACACTTCCTGTCACCTCAGGGTGCCCCAGAGCTGCGCCCTGAGCTCACCTCTCCTTCTGTATTGCAGAGGAGCTGTTAACCAGAGTCAATGGGCAAAGATTTTTGCTCCCTAGGGCAGAAATACGTCACCAATCTGATGAAAAATTTAATGATGCTTTACTAGTCATTAAAGATTAAATATGGATCTTGCACATCTAAGAAATATGTACGTATTAATATACTTCGAAATATGTTAAATGATAATTTTTAATTTTTGTGGGTGGGGCGCCCTCTATTGGCCAGACGCAACTGGTTCGCTCTTGTGTTTAAGTGGAGCTCAGACTGCTTTAAAGCGGCGCTCTGGGTCACATGACCCATTCAGTGACAAGTCCGACCCTCTTATGTTACATTGACGGGTTTTAGTGGAGGGAAACCTGCATGGAGCATCATTACACACCAAGAGCTGAATGTTGACTTGAAGAATCATTTAAAATGTCTGAAGCTAAGCTAATATTTGGGTCAAAGGTCACAACGTATTGCCTTAAATGACATCTAATCAAATCATTTTAATCATATCATCCTTGGAAAGTTTTCTACTTGAAACCCAGCTCCTGCATCAGGTCACTGACTCTGCAGCAATCCTTTATACCAAACATGCATTTGGTAACAGTGGAGAGGAAAAACCTGCTTTTAACATAGAGGATTTTCTAGCGGAACCAGAAGTTGGAATTTTCTGCTCTTAATTTTCTAAAAATAAATAAATTAAGAAAGAATGATCTGTTTATCCAGATAGATTTCTAGGTTTTCTTTGGAGGCTTTAGCACATTTTTTGGGAGAGGAAGCGGCGTCTGTTTCTAACCGCAACTTTGCTTTTCAAATAAACTTGTGTAAAAGAAGATATTTTCTCCGGAATCATCTTAGTTGGATTTTAACCCAAAGTGCTGGTTTATTACTGTAACCATGACAACATGGTATTTACAAGCGAGCAAAGTTAACCTAGTATTTTCAGGCTTAGTGGAGTCAAACATTAAACGGGTTTACGATCCTTAAACAACGGCAGCAGCTGGTTCTGGTTTCAGGAGGTTTGATCCAGTTTATTCTCTATTATCTTAATCCTTCAGGTCGTCCTAGAGGTCAGATCAGGTTATCCAATCATATTGGTTTAAAGTCATATTCATTTTTTAAAAAAATGTCAGTTAAATCAACTAAACAGATTAGTTCTACACAGATTTTTTTTAAATCCTATAGCCATTCGTTTTATTTTCTGCCTTCATGAAAACAAGAAGTTTTAGATAGGAAAATGACATCAGACCAAAAAAAATTTATTTTAATACAAAAAATTGGATTTCGAACCCATTTATCCCTTTAGTTCTGCACTTTGACTAAAGGGATTCACGCCCGTTGAGGTAGTTTAA